TAGAGTTTGCAAAGATCTATAAGAGTGAATATTCATTCATCAAATCACAAGAAGCGTAACAAAAATGTTAATGTTGCTCCATAACTGCTGGATGTGTAAACAAGAAACTAAGTGTTGTGTTTGATTCTGCTCCCTTCTTAATCCTGGTACCTTTTATTCCCCAGTGAGACTGCAGACACCCAGCATCTCCCTGACCTCTCCTAGTGCAGGTCTGGTCTGGGGTCCTGAAGGTGCAGAGATCACCAGAGGTTACAGTTTTGTCTTCACCTGCTCTGTTAACTTCACATTTTCCAGTGGACGATTCATCCTCATCTTCTCTGACTCCAACATCCCAGACAGCAAGCCAGCAGTCAACAACTCAGCCTCCTTTAGTTTCCCTGTAGCTGAGTATGAACACCAAGGCAACTACAGCTGTGTGTATGTCACAGTGTCCACACAGACATTGAGTTCTACTGCAACAGCACCCATTACTGTCATCATTAAATGTAAGTATACTATTAAATTTATGTATTAAAAATTAGAACAACATACTGTGCACACTAGCCACTCTATTCCCTATTTTTCCCTTATGGATTTTCTCTGTTTGAAAGTATACCAAACAAACAATATCAAAAAAAAAAATCGGGTCTTTTAATTTCAGTTATTTTTGATTTATTTCAAGAGCTTCGTTTTTTATTTCTAATAGTGGGAGACAGAATTAAATAATAGACATGGACATGAACATTGTAAACTCGAGCTCTTTTAATTCCTGAAAAAGTCTTTAAACTGCATTTCAATTCAAATCACAGAAAAAAAATCTCTGGCCAAAATTGGGCAGACCTAAAAATAAAGTGCTTCAAGTACATTTTCAAAATGGTATTGTCTTTAAATAATAATAATAATAATAATAATAATAATAAAGTTTTAACATAAGGTGCAGTTTTTCTTCTTAAAAAAATAAGGCAGAAACATAAAAGGTTATTAGACCAGCTTCACCTTTAAACTCTGAGCAACCTTAGCCAAAATTATTTTGTACATTAGGCTAAAATAGTGTGATCATCGAACATTTTAGTGCAAAAATAACAAATCCTCTGGACTCACAGTACCGCCATGCTCATTTACTGTCCATCTCTTTCAGCCAGTTACTTAGACAAACTGGCCTATTCACATTTTCAGAGCTCAAGGCAGCTCTCTTTTACTTTCCAAGAAGCTCAGTCAAAAACCTGTAGTAGACAATTCAAAAAAGTCATTATTAATCTACACAATAACTGTCAACTATAGAGCTTTTTGAAGAAACAATAACAATAAGTAAAAAGAAAAGTTTTATTTACCTGCATTACATTGCAATTAGATGGTACAGCTCTTATCAAGGCTTCTATCAGGTAGTCTTTTGAAATGAAATTTTCATTTTTCACATCAAGTTTTATTATTTAGTTAGTTTAAGTGAACTATAACAACTTTGGGGGAAATGAGAGGGTAAAGAGAGACAATCTCTGGCTAAGTAGATGGCACAACATGGGAAAAGAGAAGAGCGCTGAGAATTGGAACAATTCTACACCAGTCTGTCCTTAACAATGTGACGATGTCCCTGTATTGAATCTACAAATATCAGAAGATGGACTACAAAATGACTACACAAAATGACTACACAATGTGTTCTATCCCGGTTGTTTTATCGAGGTCATATAAATGAGAACAGCCTGTGAAAAATATCCCTTCATTACAGTTAAAGAAGAAGGAACATTTGGGGTCAGATTTATTAATGTCTGCAGCAGCGCAAAGCCTAATGAGCTGCTGGAATTACTAAAGAGACTCAGTGTTTTGTAACTGAAAATTGTGAACAGGAGTATTTTTGTAGCTGGCCTTATGGCATATCACTTTAACAACCTGCTCAACCAAATGGTCGAGCATATTTATATTTCAATAAGAAAAGTGCCTAACTTCACTCCAACTAACTGAGCCATCTCTACTACTTAGTTAAGGTATGCAGTGCTGAAATAATCCACCAGATGTCACTGTGAATGGTTGGTTCTTCTTATCCCTCTCCCAACCAGGAAGTGAGAAACCAAAAAACCACCTAACATATTTTGAGTGTTTTTGATTAAACTAAGGTAGGAAGGTATAATTTTTTTGATATGTGATAATGTTAGAGGACTTACTGAACAGATTTATGTGACTTGATAACATAAAAAAATTCTTAATGTGTAATCATTTTTTGTGCTCAAATGGTTGATTTGTCACTTTATGGTGCTAATGCTAACATTAACCTAAATGTTATTAAATGTATTATTTGCCATAAAATAAACACATCTGGACCCATTTTGTTTATCCATTGCTGTTGATAAATCACATTAAGTGTTAGCATAGCAAGAATATGCTGAAAGAATTTCCACAGTAAGTAATTTTTGTAACTTTCTGAGTTAATATAGAAAACTCAGAAAGTTACAAAAATTAAAAAGAATAATATGGTAAAAATCAAGAGTAACATGTGAAAAT